GTCCAGATATAGATTGATGTATGTCATTAAATCACGTCATTTTAAATCTGACTTCCTGTCGCTTTACACTCCTGACAGTAAACAGCTTGTGATGGGAAATAATGTTTTATTTTGCTCATCCTGATTCTTGATGGAATAAAGGATTGTATTGAGCAGGAACAAATTAAAGATAAGGCAATTTTACAAAATGTATTCTGGATGTCAATTTGATGGAATAAAGCACTGCAGAAAGAACATATTCCTTTTTCCGTCTTTACTCTGCCTGACAGTAACACATTTGATTTGAAATGATATGATGGATTTGTTTAGTTTGGTTTAAATTCAGTTTAGACAGCTCCTGCATGCTGTGGTTTGACTTGAAGAAACAGATCAACTAAGTGAAATGACAAAAGTATTTGTCAAATGTGTAAACGCATAAACACAGCGGATATATGGGCAATAAATCAGAGAGAAATCTATTTGTATGGCAGCTGAATGACTTCATGCTCAGCATTATATTATCTTCTGGACACGTTGTCTTAAGAGATGTGTTGGTATTTTGTATGTTTATGGTTGATGTAAATAAGACCATTGTATTTCTTTGATTATAATTTCCTCGAAACACGTCACCTTGTGGACTGAATTAAGTATCAAATATTGAGCTGATAATAGAAATCAGCATGGCCAATTAAAGTTTAAATGTTTTATTTTTCAGGTTGTTCGTGTTATGTGCTTTTGATGATCTAACAGCTATATGAGCAGAGGTATGGAAATAAAAAAACTGAAATGTTATGATATAATCTTCCTACTCTTTCCAACACACATCTGCTGTGCACTCGTACAGTATGCCCTGAATGTGGAGTGCTACTTAGAGGCTGAACCACCAGAGGATCCATGTGGCTGCGTTTTGCAACCCCCCTCCACCCAATCCTCAGACACCAGAGGGCACGCTGCGTCCCTGCCACTTCCTGTTCATCAGCCTTCACCACTGGCTGCCCACTAGGCTTCTTCTTCTATGGACCGATGACACAACAACCCCCCCTCTCACTCTCTGCTCAGCACCTAACAGATACGCTCCGAGAACTAAACCCACGTGAAAAATACCTATAACTGTAAGCATCTATAACTCAATGTTGCTCTGCAGGACTTTCCCCTAATGATCTGAAATCAAATCAATGGGTAATCATCTAAAATATTAAAGCTTCCAGAAAACATTAAAAGATGATAAAAGCGGTATTCAGGCCACGCGCAGGCTGACGTGACGGTACGTGAGCTCTCTTATAAACAAAAATCACAATTGTGTGTTCAATCCCGGTGCTCATCGGAAGCAGGAGACAAAGGGAAGAACAAATTGATGAGGAGGCCATCCAAGCTTGGGCCAGCGTGCCTGTGTGTGCTGAGCTCGGCTCATGTCTGCTCTGTTAAACAAACATCACGCGGCTACTCGCTCCCAGGGTTGTAGCAGTCAGCAGCAAAAAAAGAAAATAAACGTTCATCGCATGCATGAAAGGTAACCATAGAGACTAATACATGCACTGGCATGCACTACAGTCACATGCAACACACATTAAAACAAATTGAAAAAGATTTGGGCGAAAAAAGGAAAAATATACGCTGAATAGTTGACATGGACAGTCATGAATAAATAATATGATCCATTGGTTCATTAGGGCAAAGCTGTGCTCACTCTGGTATAGTATTGTAGGAGAAATCAACCAAAGCAGGATATATCTGTGAAGGAAGAGGTGAAAGAGGAGTAGAAGGAAGGAATGGGGGTGTTTAACTTTGTTTAAGGAGACATGTTTTTGAGCTTTAACTAGAAATACAGCCTTGAGGTTGTATTCCTTTGACAAATAGAAAAGTTGCAGTTTACATCAAGGTCAGTACAGACTTTTATGTAGTGAAGACTTTATTATTGTATAAATTTAAAAGGAATGCAAAAAGGGAAGCACATTTCCCCATCTGTTTCAGAGTTATGGTGTTAACTAATTGCCAAACATTTGACATTGACATGATAGCTCCAAAAACAAAAAAGCTGTAAGGTCACTGTGATCTTGACCTTTGACTACGATATTCTAATCAGTTCATCGATGAGTCCAAGTGGACATTAGTGCCAAATTTGAAGAAAAACTGCCTCTCTGCGTTCTTCAGATATTTTTGATACAGAGAATGGATAGGCAGGAAACCCACTGTTGCTGGAGCTGAGACATAATAAAGCCTGTGTGATGTAGATAAACTTCAATTAATTACCCAGACTGGAAGACTGGAAGTCGGAAGTTGGAGCCAGTTTGAGAACTGACTGATAAAGTCTGATGCCATCAGTAACAAGACACGACATTAGCAATTGTTCTGCATTGCAGCAATACTGGGAGGAATAAATGAGCAACAGTGCAGGGAAGAATCATTTGGTGAAACTGTTCTACTAACAACAAATTGTAAGATTCTTGGGGCTATTGTAACGATTACGTGTCAGCGAGCTGATTATGTGAATGTTGATTCGATAGCCCTTCAGTCACAGCTTGGCCGACTTGCAAAGCAAAGCCAGCTCAGCACTTATACCAACAGAAGATCCATGTATTGACGCTGACGCTGTAAATAGTTCATGTTTTTTGGTGAAGTACTACTGGAAACACTACTTAGGGCAAATACAATGAATAAAAAGTTTATTTAGAGAACCAGGCTTGCAGGAATGATAAACCGACGTGAAAAGTTCAAACTTGCTTATTGCACTTGCATATAAGGTGCATATTGAGTTGTGATGTGACAGAATCTTGATCATACATACACATCTTAAACTCAGATTAAAGGTGAGCACAGAGAAACATCTACACCTCCAGAAGATGAATGGGAAAACCATTATACAGCGTACAACAACAAACATCTAATGAAGTAATAACCAAAAAAGTGAAGGGGGACATGATACAGTGGTGGGTGATAACTTTGTAACAAGAAAAATACTCTTCAATAAAATTCGATTTCACCACTAAGCAATAGAGCTGGAAAAGACGACACAAGATTAGGAATAATTGACCTAATGCGGTCAACGTTATTGTTTAGAAAACATACTATATTAACCATCAGAATGAACAAAACTGCAGCTGCATATGTGAAAATGTTAGACTCAAAAAGGGTTAGTGCTATTTCCTATCTACATTCTAGGAATTAAGTGCAACCACACCATTTACTTTCAAGAGAAAAACCCTCCCATGATATCTGGGAAACACTGTGCCGAAACTACTTTGTGTTATAGTTGAATATCACAGTATCACTACACAGTATATCACAGCGCTCAATACATCACAAAACAACCAAGACCAGGGAGATGTAAGGACAATAAAAAACAGTGTGGGCGGGCAAAATCAGAGGCAATAAAGTCTCATACGAAACACACCTTGCTGAAGAGGTCGCCTCAGGGCAGAGGTGAAAAGTGTAGCACAGGATTGTTTCCACGTGATCCTCCGCACACATCTAGACAGGGTAAGTATCTGGTCAAACTGCTGCTGGCCAGTGCACTGACACAATGATCATCTAACGGACACTCATGCCCTTCAGCTCCAGAGGAAATGGGCTGTCTCTGTCAGTGAAGCAGCCCAGAGCAGAGGCTCCAGCAGAGAGGAGAGGGGTCGCTACACAGCGTGAAGCCCAACAACTAACACGCAAGAGATAGGAGTGTGTGGTGGTGACCAACAATAACCAATACTGCTCGTCAAATTAATCAAAAATAAATCTGTACTATTACAATATTTATTTATTTTTTCATTACATTTCTGTCCTGAATGTACATTTTCTTGAATACTGTCTTTTTAAGTACTGTTTTTAGTTACTTTATATTATTTTATGTTATGCTTCCACTACAATGTAGAGGCAAATATTGTACTTTTTATTTCACAACTTTCTTTTTATAACTTAAGTTACTTTAACTATTGAGATTCAGATTAATATTACAAAATAATAAACAAATAGTTAATTATGTATTATAATGGGTTAAGATACAACTTTTTGGTTCCTTTATTGAGCTACCTGGTGAAAATAAACTCATTTACCAGCTACAACATTAAAGTGAACCCATAAAGCATCAAAACATTTAATATTTTAGGTATATTTTGATGCCAGTACGATTATACATTTACTTACTGCAAAACTATTCTGTGTAACAGAGTGTGTGTACACTGTATTACTACTTCGGCTTAATTAAAAATATCTGAGTATCTGTGTAATTCATGTGTAGACTGATTTAGTGCGTATATTAAAGACAGCAGTAAACAAAGAGCCAGAATGATTCTCCTCAGAACTTCATCTCCATCTAGTGTTCAGACAGCATACACCTTCTAAACACTGATAAAACTAGTATATTGTCAAAAGCTTACACATACTTCAGACCGTTAAATTAATAGAAATGTGAATCTCACGCTATTCCTCGAGAGTGGCACAACAATTATTCATGATTGAAACTCTACTAATCAACAAGGCACCTTGCCTATACACCACCTACGCTTTGGCTTGTGCTTAGCTCCATTCGTCACGGTTTTCACATTCAACATGAAAAAACTGAGACAGGTGGCTGTTCCCTGGCTTACATCAGCCCCCTCAGAGAGTAAGTCAGAGAATAAAGGATGATTAGACAAAGAGTCTGCCTTTAAGCGATCCACTCAGCTGGGCTTTTTCCTGCAATCAATTACCTTTACATAACATCAAGAATCACATTTGCAATAAAATATGTAAGAAACCAAATGCCATATTTAACATGTTATTGCAGGTGATTATATTAATAGGATTCCTGTTTTATACCAGCCTCAGAATCAGGCTGTATTTTTTTTAACTTTATTATTTAATTGATAAAGTGTGGGGGAGTCAGCACAGATACAGAAATCTATGACTAGGCTAACATCAGTCCAGAGTTCAATACATTCTTGGTGGTATACCTTGTGTATTCTTTAATGTCTTTAATTAACAGGGAGACAAACTCAAAAACGTGGACATATTTAGCGTGCAGCCCTTCAGATTGTGATACAAGCAACTACCTTGAGTTAATCTCAGATATGTGTCACAATCTGCAATGTAGCCAGAGAATGTATGTAGGGCAATACAAGTACAGATGGAGCAGAGAGAGGAACCCACCTCCCACAGAGACCTGAACTCCCTCTGCTCGATGCGTAGGAGCTCACTGAATTCCCTCGTGACAATGGTGGCATGCCGGGGGGTGTTATCCAGGATGGACTCTCCAAATGCTGTGCCGGTGCCCAGCGTGCATATAGTAACAGCATCCTGTAACAGAAACAGAGAGGAGGCTACACATGGATAATTCCTCACTAAGGATACAAAAATACCGCAAGAAAATATGCCGTTAATTTAAGCATAATTTAATGTCCTTTTTCTGCTAGATGAAAGGCCTTTGTGTGAGGCACTTGAGGAGCACTGATCAGATCACTCTCAAAGGCTACGGGCAATCACCTGAACACTTGTGTGACATAAATGGATACACTCCAGTGTGCAGAGAAATTACTCCAATCAGCTCCTAGACAACCTCACTGAGGTGGATTAAGCTGCAGTATTAAAAACATTAAGCATTGTTATAAACAGGATGCTCTTTACAGCCCACACTCCGAACAAGCTTGGGGTTAGACGGTGAATTTCAAGTGTCGGACAAAATTATTAAAATCTTCATAGAAAGACTGTAACATTTAGAAGATAATGCAGATTTTTTTAGGCCCAAATATCCACACCAAAGAACATGTCTTAAACAAAAGATGGATGTGTATCAGCCGTACCTGATAACTTGATGTCTCTGAAACTCTGACATCCAGTGAACCAGAGATGACCGCATACCAGCTGGTGCCAATGTCTCCTTGGCGATACACTAATGATCACAGCAGTTAATCAAATTAAATCAGCATGTTTTTCGTACGGTACCAGATTTACAATATGACAGTCTCAGATCCTGTTTTTGACTTACATGTGATGCCTTTCTCCAAGCACACATAGAATCCACACAGGCAAATCTGCTGCAACAAACTGGGGTGAAATCTCTCGAAGGCCTTCACATTTTTCAGGCGAGCCAGAATGATGTCAACATCTTCCCCAGAGCGCTCTGCTGGCCTGGAGAAAGAAAAAGAATACCATACAGGTGACTGCTAAAACAAATGTACATACTGTAAGGTACCTACAGTATAGGCTGCAGAGACCATCAGTCAGTGCACGTTGGCCTGGTTTCTGAAACATCAGAAATTATGGTGAGTGAAACCTATTTAAATTCTGGTTTCCTGTTACAGCTCCTGTCATAACTTATAATAACATTTGTACAACAAAGAGGTAACGAAAAAAGGTCAGAATCCACACCTGCACTCTTTTGTGGTCTTCATGAAATTAGAAGCTGAAGAAATGTGTGCTGTAACACAGTGAATCAAGAAACACAGGAAGAATGGTTAAGGCAATCGAAAGACATAATATTTCATATATCGTAATTTTGATCAAATACCCATAAATTGTTCAGCACTAATTTTTCTTCACTGATAACTATCACCTCTTGTGCCGCACCTAGTAAAGCTTAGGAAGTTTAGTCAAGAAGAGTCATTTTATTTTCCAACTCAAACAGCTGAGTGATCATCTCATTGCTGTCAAATGTAAAATGATAATGTCACCAAAGACTCGCATGTCTCTTCAACTTTTCCTTTTGAGTAAACTACATCAAATGAGATCCCAGATCACAATAGATTATACCGATCTGTGTTAGATTGAGATAAAATATTTTTTTTCAGTGTTTAATGCTCAACATTAACAGTCAAGAATTGACTATGAGGAGCTTTGCAAGTGTTTGTGAAACTTATCTCCTTTAGCCTTTACTCAAACTGGCTCATGCTCCCTGTGCTGCCCACTGACCATTTTGTTTTAAGTGCATCTATAAAAAGAGACTTTTTACATAAGTATGAAATTGGTTACAGTAACTCTATACATTGTTGTTTATCACATGGAAAGAAATGCTGATCACAAAACAGATGAGTCAGGTTGTGTTTTATCCCTCTCACTCCTCTGTTGCCTGTATTACATTGCCCCAAATGTGTTCCACTGAATCTAGAGAGTCTGATGTAACATGTGGGTGGTTGTACTGTAGCTTACATCACCTTTGAATCCATCCTTTAAAACATAAATCAAACTGCATCCAAAGTTCATTAAAGGAACACTTTGCTTGCTTCATTCCTTCAACAACCATCTGACTTATGTAGCTCTATATTATGTCACAGTACAGTAAGTGTTTTCTCCAAGCACATCATGTCTTCCCTAGCAACCTTATCTCTTTGCTTTGCTCTTTGTGATGGGACTGAATGATCACACCTGGTCCACTCCCATAGCATTAACTGAGTAAGCCTACCCTGCATTATATCAGCACTGCGTACACAGGGGGGCAACAGAGAGATGTGTGGGAGCCCGAGTTTCAAAGCCAGGGTGTATATTTGGAAACCAACCAAGTCAAAACAAAATCAAAAAATGCGGATTTAGAGTCTGAGTGAGGACAGAATGTTTTCATCACGAGGCAGCTTGTTGCAGTATTAACACTACTTAACCTAGAGTAGCAACTGTTTCTCACCTACAGTATAGTTACAGAGCGTGAGACTGCAAAGTGTAAGATGGGTTAGTAAAATGTGGCAATATTAACAGCTGTGGTTTTTGTGCTCACTTGTCCAATACGTTTTCATATGCTGTAAAGATCTGCATGGAAATATATATGTTATCATCTGACAACAATAAAGTGAAGTATATTTGCTACAGGTGTTTGCTTGGAAACGGAGGATCATACTAGAACCGTTTGATTTGAGCAACAAAGGCATCTTCTAGATCCAAGCAGAGGATGTCACTGTGTAAACACATCTGGAACACTGCGTCACCTTGATGTTCAAAGCTGACGCACTTTGGACCTTTTGTTTGTCACAGACCCTTTCTGGTCCATTTACACCTGAGCAGCATCCAACATCCCTGCCTGTTTGGCTCCTAAAACACTCATTTTCACTTTCCAATATTTTCAATCCAAGTGTTTTAATTCAAAATGTAAAATCTAGCTAGTGCAATGCCTTAAACAAAATATAAGGAGGGTGTGAAATAAGGGATTATGCACTTATTTGAATGCACTTCATATTGTGTATGCTGGCAGTTGTCTCTTGTCATGCACTTTGTATCTTGCATTATAATTCCTTTTGTTTTTTTATGCGGCAGCCTTTATGTCTAAAACTAATTTCCCCAGAGAAAAATAAAGCAATCTTGACTCGACTTAAATTAATTAATGTGGATATCATGTACCCAAAGACCTTGCTGTGTAGATGATAGACGTGTACACTATAGTTGTGCGACACTGCCTATGTCAGTAGTGATGCAAAATGATGATGATTCATAAATATGTGAAAGACAACCCTAGTGTGTTTTTATAGCTTTCAAAATCAGGCTGCGTAAAAAAATACCTTTTTTTTTCAAGAATTGTAGTCCAAAAAGTAATCGTATGGTATATTAGCACCAACATATCTGGAGCACTGTTGTCCTAGACTGTGTTGTAAATTATGTACCAATTAATCAGGTACATGTATTATTCAAGCAGTCAATATGGCTCCTTCTCTGCTTTTTATAAAGATCATATATGATCTTAGCATTACATGGTAACATGCTAATAAACTTTTTTTTTTTGTAATGTTAACATGCTCTTGTTAATGTAAATTAGGCATGTACCTTGTATGCAAACAGTTTTAGGTAGCAGTCAGAGTATTCTACCTAGACATTGATCAAAATCCAAGTAGGTGAGTAACAGTGTCTGCAGCAGCTGGAGGGTAGTTTATCAGTCAGTGATTCATGCAGTCAGTGGTTAAAAAATATATTTCAAACAGCAAAACCTAAAGTTAGTGGCCTTGTTAATTAGATTGTTGTTCCTCGCTTCACAGCGGTCATTTAGTTTGTTTGCAGCAACATGGTTTGCAGCCCAAATTAACTCGTGTCCTGAAAACGCAACACTATGCTGACATGGCCTTTCAAGGATGCCTAATTCAATCTCAGGAGCATTAAGTCTTAACTACGTTGGGAAATTAAAACTACAAAGCCAAAAATCTTAGCTCCTGAAAGCTCCTTAACTTAGCTCCTGAATCACAGCGCCGAAGCTCTGCTGGAAAAACAGAAATCGCGTTAATATTCCATCAATCTTCCCTTGCACAGTGGCTTGAAACGAGCAGCAGTGAGTCAGTGACATATAAAAATACCTTTTATCCAGACAAATAATCCACTCGGCAGATTCCGAAGAATGTGAAGAAGTGTGTGCTGCTACCATCTTTGGATCCTGCTGCTGTGGAGGTAGAGAGGGCTGGACTAAAACACCTGCCTTCAGTCTTCACTCATTCCCCGCTGACAGTCAGTGAGCTGCTGTCCCCAGATCTGCTGCTGCTGATCTCTACAGCTGACCGGGAGCAGAATGGGAACACATGAGAGGGGGTGTTCAATGAGTGTGAGTGAGTGAGTGGTGAGGTTTAGTTGCTTTTGAGAAAAAACGTGACTCACTTTGCTAAGCTGAAAAAAAGGAGGTAAGTTTATTCAGCCTTTAAAGAAACAATTAGAAAAATCACATGCTGCAGAAACTGGCAGAGAAACGATTAATATGATGGTGGGAAATACATCTGTCTCTCATTCATGCTATTTACTTTGTTTAGTTGATAAGTCATAAAACACATTTTGAATTTGTATTGATTAGCCCAAAATATTCTGTATAATAATATATATTTTCACCACTGCAAAGATTTCTCCTGCTTTTTATTATGTATTGCAATTGTTAATACTCATCTAAAATAAATGTCTTTATCTTTTTGTTTAATTTGTATCACTTCAAATTAATCTTTTACACACGTATGCATTCTGCTCTTGTTTTAGTCATTGTCTTAACTGGTTGTGTGTTTTCATACCAAGTAGCTTCACACACAACCTTCTCAGAGCTGATCATTTGATTAAAGTTTTGTTATCTTTATTTTAATGTTCACAGTGGTCATCTACATTTATAAGCAATGCCAAGTGCATGCTACTTAGAAAGAGTGTTTTAAGGGGGCATATATAAAGCACTTTGCCAACTGCTAAGGAAGTATTATATGAGCTCAAATTGTTCAATTCAACATACACTAAATGTTTCACTCAGTTACCAGCTAGCTATCTAATGTAACAATAAATCATGCTTTCATTGAATTAATGTTTTTCATGTATTCCACTTCAGAGTTGCTTTGGAGGTTGCAGGTTTCCTTATAAACCGCCAACTTTTTGAGGTGGAATATGTTAATATAGTGGTGTGAATTAAATGTTATTTGGGAGAGAGAGTGTCCTTCCCTGATGTAAAACGGTCCTGTTAGATATCTAATACAACACAATCTGTAAAATGTTAACAATGGTTTAACAGTTTTGAAACGTGTGAAATGTATCACACATTGCTGCTCATACTAGCTACTGTCTTTACTCTTCTCACTCCCACATCTCACTGATGTTCAAAACGTGACTGTGAAATGTTTTTTCTCATTGAAGCAACCTTGTGATAGTAGGGGACATTCTCATGTTGCAACGTGCATGAGTGCATACATTCACCATGAAGAGATTGGTTGCAGGTGGAGGACATGTTCTAAAGTGGCCAGTCAGCACAATAAGGCACTTCTGCACAGAGGGATTTCAGTATGATGGAAATGCATATGGATGACCTTATAGAATAACACACATGACCATCATGGGCATCCACATGATAGTTAATCAGGAATGTATGTAGACTTGTCTTCTTTCAAAGTAGAATGGCCCTGAGAAAAGGATGCTTTGTAATAAGCGTTCACATAATAAAAGGGTCATTGCTCCTCAGTTCCCTTGGCAACAAACTGCAACTGAGACAGAAGTAACACGACTAAGAGGTTGAGCTCCACAATGCCTTCTGTGCTGTCAAGAGTGTGAAGAAAACTGTTTGCTTATTTCTTTTGTATCTCTTTAACCTAACAGTTGCTGATCAATCAGTCATTTGTTTGTTTGTATTTTGTTTTTGATGATTAGAATTACAAGTAAAATCATATGTATTCACATCTATGTCTATATTTATGTACTTGACGATTGCAATACTTACTGCACAAAACGTAGTATTAAACGTCCCCTATTATACTGTTCTCATCAATATATTATAGGTCTCAGATATACACAAACAGGGCCGCCCCTGGCCAACTTGTGGCCCAACGCAAAGTTATGTGATGAGGCCCTCTGTGTCGCGAACGATGAGGCTCCCTCCGTGAGGTGAGGCTCCCTCCGCGAGGTGAGGCCCCACGCAGTCTGTGTGATCTGCGTGTAGGGAGGGGCGGGCCTGTATACAAAACATGTCTCTAAAGTGTTTGGCTCGAAATACCAAACAGATCATTGCAGCATCCCATAAACCCCTCTGTTTCAGCCCAGTTTCAAAAGTGCTGATTCTCTGTCTTTTACTTTAGAAGAAAATAAGGAGCCCCTTCCCACGCCCCTCTGAGAGATATTTGGTTAAAAAGAACACAGTGGTGCTATAGGAGGACATTCAGGTGATAAGGTGGGGGGGGTTACCTTGGTTGGTGATTGGCTAATGGTTACACAACTCAAACAATCGTTATGACATCATAAAGTGGCCAAAATCTGATCAGCTCATTTTCAGACAGGTTTTTATATAGTGAGCGAATCTTTTTTCCTGAAACTTTCAGAATCTCTTTACACAGAGGGGAGACATGTTTATGTATAAAAGACATGAAAAAGTGGATTTTGCATAATAGGTGGTGTGTATGAGTGCATTGAAATCCTTGAGAATCTTTAAATGGTGTGATGAAATGTATAGTACAATACTGATCTTTCCATGAATTTCATAGAACGTACATAGTCATTGCTTTTAAGGGGGTGAAAAGAGCCCGTAACTGACCTAAACTATTTTAGAAAATTAAGAAAAACATTTTTTAAGTATAACCAATGTGATATCTTTTCATGGGGCCCAAAATCCCTGGCGGCGCCCCTGGGTATGAGGATGAAGATGAAAGAAATCACTGTTTTTTTTAAATATTTGATCAATATCAATATCTTAAATATTGTACTTCTATCTGCCACTAGATGGAAGCATTGTTTCTGTTTAAGGTACAAAAACAGAATCATGCTGCCTTGGCTTGATTTACAAGACTGTTTGGAAATGTAACTCTGACTCTGAAATATTCAATTTTCATTAGTATGAGCAGACATATTTGTGTGCAGTTCCAAAGATGTTTTGCATTTTAGAGAGTTCATTTTGATAAAGAGTTGAGGGCCACACTGATTACACATTGTATACATTTCTATTGTCTATGGTCCTCCTGAGCATGGAGAGAATTTTGTCTTTTGACAAAATATGTTAACTTAAGGTCAATTTACTAGATTTGTATTACAGGAAATGGACCTTCAGGTAATTCTTTTAAATGACTGTTCCAGTAAAACCACACACATTTTGAAGTTGCACCTTCATCTTTTTCTCTCTAAAAGACCAGCATTACCCTTTCCATCACGCTGTCGCTGATGCAAGACTGAGCTCAGGCCAGGGAATGCACAACACAAAACACACATTCTAGTTACACTGCATACCTTCAACTCACAGCAGCATCACAGCAACACATAACAATTAGTAAAAATGTCAATATGCACTGCAGTGCTTTGCCAATGTGCCTTTGTCACTACTTCTAGTGATCTGATGGCTCCTAAAACACTGCAAATGATTGCTCCTATTGCCGTTGCAAGTAGGTGTGCAAACCATCCTGTATCCTGAAAACACAATCAAATAGCTTTCCATATTTAAAAGCACCCAGCTGACGGTGGCAATATTTAACATTCAACCCTCTTCAGGAAGAGGGAACAATGGCCTCATAGAGAAAGGTTTGTTTTGTTAGTTGTGGTCTGATTGAGTTTGAGACATTTTGTCAAAGATTCCACTGACCGGCACTTCACCTGCTCACGTTTTCATTCGGCTTGACTTGTTCATTCTTGTTGTTTGAAGGGTTGCTATAGAGATCGCTGGCCTGGCTTCGGCGTGCCATCTTACCCCTGGGAGAAAGCCCACTGACTGTGTATATATGGCTTTTCAGACCCACAGTTGCTAGGAGATGATCCAGCAAGCTGGCAATGGTAAACACACAGACACATGCAACCCTTATGTGCACACACAGCATCATTTCAGATGCAGATGAGCATTTGGAAAGACAGTTGATACTACTGGAATGTGAAGCTCTTATAAGTAAGTGTACAATATTGAAAGTAATGTGTTTCCTCATGTAAGATGAACATTTTGAGATGTATGAATAGTTGGAGAGGACATAGGTCTCACTTAAAAGACCAACGTACACATTCCAGAGTCAAAGGAAATGTGATCCATCATTAAACATTTCTTATCTCTCACTCCCAGTCTGAGAGCTCACATCCCCTGAGCCAAATGTAAATGGATTTACATAAAACAAATGAATAAAGAACCCATAGGAAAGATGTACGTTAGTGGTAGGCTAATACTAAGCTTTAAAAAACCTCATTCATCAGATAAGACCTAACATTTTCCTCGACATAACTACTCTGTAGCCATGTTCGTATGACAAATAAAGAACCTTGATAACCAAGACTTAAATGGAATGTGAGGGCTGATAGCTGCAGAGGAAATGCCTGAGGACTGGACCTTTTCCAGAGAAGTCTCCCTGAATGTTTTTAAACATTAATTTACAACTTTGATATGATGGGATGTAATAGCCTTAAAATAAAGCACTATTTACATAATATGCTCATAATTCATTTATCTAATAATCAAACGCAAATGGTAATGCTCCCTGGGTGGAAACTCTCAGTGTTGAGAGTTTAATATTTTATCTTTTGTAGGATTAAAAATGTAAATGGATTTACACTTTAGGCAACTGAAGAAATGGTCATGTCTTCTAAATAGATCACCATCTGCTTATAGGCCTCCTGCTGCGGCCTGGTTCATATTTATAAATAATTACATCCTTCTTTGCATATTGTTACATAATAATCACCTCTTTTTCGTAAAAAGTTACAAAAGTGTGTACGTTCAAGATGTATAAAGATGTAATCAAACATAAGATACACGTTTAAACTATGTACAATTTTTTATTTTAAAGCCATTGTCTTTTACAAAATAATGACCTGATGAATGTTATTACATTTGTAAATAAACAATGACGCAATGTCGTCTTGTAAAAGATATTCAAATATTCATTTGAGATCAAAGAACATCTTCTCCCACATGCTCTGGCTTCTATTTCCTAGTTCTTTCTGATTGGATGATATTTTTGCAATGTAGGTTCTCAGCCACAGAGGAAACCTGACTACACTTTCATTCAGTATCTTTGCAGCAAATCTCATGAAAACATAATCTCTTTATTTCCTGAATCAAATAGGTATGAAATGTTGGTTCTGCAACTTATTATTCTCTGGAGAGGTGACCTGATTTTTAACATGAAATAAGAAAATACTAATATATTATGCTTTGAAATGTAATCCTTTCTAAACTTTGGTTTTGTGAAATCACTTCAGAATATATTTTCAGCTAAATTAATTTGGATTTCAATATGTAAAAAGGTATTAATTAGAAAATGTGCACAGCCATAGCAATAATATGCAGGATATAGGATCTCTGTAAAATGACCCACTTAAATTGAGGTGAAATATATGGTTAAACCCAACTTGCATTTCCTGATGCATGTTTATACAGTATATATATTATGTAAGCACTTTGACACGCAGTTTGTGTATGAAATAGTATACTAATACACTTCCTCCGCCTTGTTGTTGGTTAAACCTTACTGTTACCTGAAGGTAGTTCTACAGATTCATTTAGATTTTTGTCAGATGTTGTATTTTTCTTCCAGAATGCACTTCATCCCTTCAGTTAAACTATACACATCCACGCTAATGCCATAACTGCCTTCAGGCTAAACAAGGTGCCTCATAATCAGCCAGTACCTGTGGCATTGTGCTGACTGAGTCATAGCCGGATGTATAACTCATGGGGCCTTGGGGCATCATTCGCTGTTTGTTTGTCTGTGTGCTAGTGACTTATTCGACCGGCCCACCTCGGTACCGGCCCATTGGGATTTGTCCCGAACGTCCCAATGGCCAGTCCGCCACTGGCTTTAGGTGAGCTCTAATATACAGTAAGCCCTTTCCCACGCCTTTCTCCTTCAACTCCTCCAGTCTGTGAGCTGTGGAGAAAGAGAGGAGGGGAGGGGGTGGAGCTGGTGGTGGGTTACAGTTCTGGAATGTGTGCGCGCTCCCGACTCTCTCTGTTCTCGTCGGCCGCGCCGCGCAGCACAGACAGACTCTCGTGCGCGCGCAGCCCGCGACAGGTCTGGAAGTGCAAGGAGGAGGCAGGAAAACGCTGTTGGAGCGGGGAATGATGGCGGTGAGAAAGAAGGCACAAGTTTAATGCTGTAAAACGGGGACATTGTGGGCCAACTTTCGGCGTCTAACACGATGCAGCGAGTAGGAGGTGAGAGCATTACAAAGTTGTTTACCTTTGTGTGGTGTTGTGTGAAGAGTTCACCTTTTTCACGGCTCGTACTTGAAATGCCACAATGAATTGTTCAGAGCACTAACGCTGGGGCTGTGTTTGCCAAGTTTGACTTTGTTTCGCCTTTTATCAGTGGTGCAGCGTTACTAACATTATTAACAACGTTTAATTTAGTACAAATAAAGTATAAGTATATAGTTGGTTAAGGTAACTTTCAATTCAAAACACTTTTGGTTTAACGTTTGCTAACGCCAGTAGTCGGACAACCACTACACCGAAATGCATACAAACGGTTAATGCAAGCTAACGTACACATTCTAACGAACTAACCGTTGAAAGTTCACCCTTCATGTTCTAACCTAGTATTCACACTGTTTTGGTTTGGATACAGAAATACTTGATGATTAAGTATTAACTAATTTCAAACGACTTACGTTGCTAGGCATAGCGAGATAATGGTATCCGCTCTCTGATTAACTGATATTACTATCCGTTTCTCTCTGTAGATGACTTCGCTGAGAGTGTTTAGTTAAGACCACTGTGCTACAAAGAAGCTACGCCGGACCCATGGCACCACTTGCGTAAAGCTATAGTTCACCAACAAAACAACAACAGGCTCTCCAAAACCGGCTTTTCTAATTGGGCTGCAATCACAAACAAAAGGCAAACATGATCAAAGCGGAAAGCAAAGGAGGCGAGAGGACCCTAAGGAGCGCTTCCCCTCACAGAAATGCATACAAGTCTGACTTCCACACCATTAAGTGCACTTTTGATGGGTCGAAATCCGAAGGCGACACCAAATCATATGCAAATGGCTCCAGTGACACCCGGGAGGACTCAAGAGGAAGACCTTTTGGCAACAGAGTGAACAAGATAAAGAACATCTTCCTACAGATGGATGGTCAGCAACAGGAGTGCCAAGAGGTGAAAGTGACTCCTAAGCCTGATGTGGCCCCGGTGTCCCCAGTGGTCCCGGAAGCCCCGGTGTCCCCACCAAAGCTGCAACTTCCAGTCAGCCCTCCTCGAGCTAACCTCAACAGTGCCACAAGCCCAGAATCACAACATTTAGATAAACCACCCAAGGGGGAAGATGTTGAGATTGACAAAGTGGCTTTGGCAGAGAAGTTTTCTTCGACCAGAAAACTCTTTGAAAGGGGCATCAAAGAGCAGCCTGCAGCAGAAAAACAGTCACCAAGCAGGGTAGTAAATCGCTTGTCCCTTGGAAGTGCCTCTGATGAAGGGAAAAGCACAAGGAGAGTATCAGGATCGTCTGAGATCATTATCAAATCAGAGCAAACGCCAACATCAACAGATAAATGTCAACTGGAGGGGAAAGTCAATGGTGAGAAAAAGCATGTATCTAGAGTATCATTGAATGCAGGACCCATATCCAAAAGGTTGGACAATTACATGGTAGAGAATGACTTGGATGAGACAAACACAGCTGCTGCTAAACAACACAGTACCACTGAACATTTACTGTCTTCATCTCCAACAAGGGACAACTCACAGAAATCTACTTCAACGGTTAAAGATGCCACTAACTCTACCCCTGTGACTGTTGCCACTAACAAAAATACATCCCAGACGACGTGTGTCACCAACAAATCAACGGTTTTGGGGTCAATAACCCCAGTTAGCCATGGCTTCAAACGCTCCTCATCATCCAGTGATGGATTTAGTAGGGCATCTGTTGGTGGGGATGAAGGCAAGTCACATAGTTCGCCCCCAGGGGATGTTAAGCAACCTTCTCCATCAGCTGTTGGGTTTCAGAACACCAACAGGGTTAAATACCCTGAAAAAGCCAGAAGTAATGACACTGTGGTAGATAGTCCTGCCAGAGACAAGCCATCCAGCCAGACCTCAGCCCTGGACTCCAGAGGGGTGGGGGTGGTACGGGCAGAACTGGTAGTAGTTCAGAATGAGTCTTCAGAGAGTGAGGAGAATGACGATGAGAACGTTGAAGATAATGTATTTGAGGAACAGAAGGTGCAAAGCCCCAAAGACAACCTTCTAACAGACATGAAAAGAACATCTTCACCAGAAAAACAGAACTGTAAAACTGCACGTGTCTTAGCGAGAGAAGTCTCTAAAGAGACACAAAGGATAGAAGAGACTGTGGGTGAAGGAAGAGTCTTGGAGGACAGTGGGGGAAAAGGGTTGAAAAGGGATAGACAGGAAGAAGAAGATGATGATGATAATCAAGAGGAAGATGAGGAGGTCGCAGAGGAGGAGAGTGAGCTGGAGGAGCAGGTGGGCCAGAGCATCCTGGATAGAGCCTCACCAGTAGTGTACGGTATTGAGAATGCAGCATTTGTGGATGACAGAGATGTAGACCAGGTCCTCAGGGAAGAAGAAGAGGAAGAGGAGGAGGATCAAATGTATGGGGATTATGACGACTGTTACGAGATGATGGGTCTGTCGGATGAGGAGGAGCCTCCCCCAAAGAGGAAAATCAACTTCTCTACAGGCCCCATTCAGGTTAGTGTTATTTTATGTTGTGTTGTTTACATGTGAGCACCTACAGGTGTATTGCAAACTAACTCCATCATTATGAACCACCGTCTCACTGATTCAGCAACACCGTCTCACTGATTCAGCAACACCGTCTCACTGATTCAGCAACTGACTGAACTGCAGACACAAGAGAAATTAGTGAAGGCTGAGAATGAATGCTGCTGTTGTTCATGTTGACGTCACAGCTGTTGCACTGTATCATTATCCAAGTTCAGAAAATGAAAACTATGTTATTTTTTAATCCTTGTGACCCTGAAGGCAAGTCGTTTGACAGCACCACCCATATTATAGGAGAGAGAGAGGACTGGTTATCTTGCAACATTGTTTGTGGTATTTTTGGAAATATTGTTGACAACATAAAAGCAAGGGCAGCAGTGAGTAGTAGAGAGACGTGAAACTTTAGACCGTGCAGTTAATAATTATTGCCCCCTGTGAGTCACTGCAGAGTATATTTTTACTCATTCAGAGTGGTTCCCCTCTGTAAGGGAATCATGTGTTGCACTCATGAGGGACTTTTTTTTCACCACTCTACAACATGGATATGAGGAATGAGGGATATTATTATTATTATTATATATAACCATGGCTAATTCATCCTATTACAGCTGGGGAATTCCTGATTTGAACTATTCATTCATTCTTAAATGATATGATTCTTTTGAGAAAAGCAGAAACATGGATTCTCAAGGTTCAAGGCTCTTTATTGTCAAACTAACATAGCTACAGAGTAATTATGTCGTTGAAAATCTTAGGTCACATTCTGCTTCTTTTTTTTAATGAGTTTCTCCAGGTTGTTGAGGATTATTAATTAGACGTCTTATATATTTTTACAGTGGATAGTAGTCCTATAAATGAGGCGTAGAGTTGGGTGAATAACTGAATAACTTAAAATAGTTTTTGACTTTGACAATCTTTCGGTATGATTATCTTTCAGCTTGGGGTGCTCCAAATGGTCTGTTTACATTTGGGAACACCAATGTTAATGAATAATTGTTTTTATTCTTCCAAAACAAATGTCCTATTATTTTCATCAAGTCTGGTGTTGCCTCATCATGTGTTGTTATTATCGCCAGTGCATGTTTAAGGGGTGTGATGGAGGTCATATCTCCTACAATAGATATTCTACAATCACTATATCTAAACAACATTTTGCTAAAGCAGGGAAAAACAAATCATCTAGTGCATTCCACATAGCTTGTGAACAGCTCAATGTTTATCCAGGCCTTAAAATGCACTGTTATCTCAGGGTGTGGACCCCCCCCATCCCAGTTATCCCGGCAGGGGGTCCTGGGAGAGGGGACCAGAAGCTGACCTGGAGTGGACACAAACAAAAGTGCCTCTCCTCCTCCAAAGTGGAGCTATGACAGGGCTAAACACAATTTTAGAGTTGCTACAATATGTTAGACTGAGCCACCTCTTTGTAGCAGTTCACCAACCGTCAGAGGGACACTTTATGCAAAACAGATTAACTGACACAAGGTTGTAGTTATGTTCATGTGAGTTTGTATACATTTCCATCTCGAGGGCAGATTGAAAGAAACTACTGTGTACAACTTTTTAATACCGTGTCAGCATTAAGCAAAGATATTCAGTTTGCTCACATGAGAGAAGAAAAAGCAGACAGTTGTCCTGGTTTGGAAGTTAAACTAGGTCATGTTCAACATGCTCAAACCGTCCAATAATCCTTGTATCTCGTCTTTCCCGTTAGAAAAGTGGTCATTGAATTAAAACAAGATGATTATCAATTATTACCAATTAAAATGATGCTACTTATTTCTATCAGTTTGTCTATAAAGTTTGTTTATCTTTGCATTTGACCGTAACAATAATTTAAACAATTTCATTTTAAAAATGTTAGATGTTAACTTAATTTCAATAATTATCCAAATCTAGACTAATAGTCTTAATCATTAGTCAAATTATTAATGTAATACTTTTAATATTAGTTAGCATGTTTATGTTTGTCTAATCAGTTCTTTGTTGTCACTTCTAATTATATCATATGTGATAAGATAAGATATGATTGCAGTGACATGTAATTCCGCACTAACAATGATCACCTTGGGATTGTAAAGGATCTACGGGTTGGGTATGCAACATGTTTACATTTAATAAAGATAGCAAGTCTGAGAAGGTCAAAGCATTCTTTTGAGTTTTTGAGCAATTTGCTTTTTTAACTAATTGCATGAATGAGTGCAAGCCTGGGAACAGCTGGAAAACACACAGAGAAACTTGTCAAAACAATAACGTGCTTGGATTAAAACCATGGGGTCAAGGTCATGTGGTATTCGGGTTAGCCAATTAAGTCACACAAATGTCCCTCAGCCATCCTTTCTACCTGTGGCCTGGCTAACAAAGGCCTCCTGCTAGCACTGCATCATTCTCCACAGTCTGCAAGTCAGAGCTGGCGCTGGGATGGAGCACACTTGAATCATGGCTAACTAGGAGAGAGGGGAAGTTCTTTGTGCCTCTGGTTCACAAAGGGATTAGGTCCCTGCGAAACCTGAGTCTTCTAAACAGAGGCAGTATCCTGCGTGGAAGAAAGGTCCTCTTTGTGAACTAAAGGAGATGTCCAGTTTCAACATGTATCACTCTTTTCAGGGTTGAAAGAGAGCTTTCTAAGGCACTCAGAATTAGTTCACAACACACGGTTTCAATAATTCCTAAAAAGTGAGAGTCTTGCGTCAAGCCAAATATTGGATGTTGAAGGTTTCTGAATGCACTTGGATTGTAGTTGTGATGAGAACAATCTGAGTGTTGGAAAGAGAATGAAAACTACAGTGCAAGTGTTCTATACATTGTTTTTTGTGAGCATTCTTCTGCATATAAGCTAACACGGGATCAAACGTTAGTAGGGCATTACAATGCTGCACTCCCATTGCTGCTGTGTCAGTACATAAGTTTGCTCTGCTCTACCCTGTGGCTGTGTGAGCAGTATAAATATTGCACCACTGCTTACTGATTATGTCTTTGGTGTTAGTATGGAGGTAGTTTCCTTTAGTGCAAATAAAAACCAGACCTGTAATATTAGTTTGTCGAGGCATGTCCTGGAGAAGCATTGCATCACTTTTAGTTGCTTTCTTCATTTCTTTCACTCTGAGTCTGAACCCTATAGTTTGGGAAAAAATAGTTATTGAATGATTAATGCTCCCCGCTGTAGGCGCGTTATCCGCTTGGGGACAAAGACTGCATAGTCATTTTCAGGTTAGTAGTTATGTGGGATCGCTGAAGAGGTTGTCTTGTATCTTTTGTCATGAAACCATTTGGAACAGGAGTCAAAAACCATTTGACAATAACAGAAATGAAAATGTCTGAAGCTAGGATTTGCACCTTTTGCTTTGACCAACCCACACAGTCACAGGATGTACCTCACGCAGTCATTGGTCAAGTGAACATATAGTGCCTACTCGAACACACAGGGTGTGGTAAAGGATTGTGGCGACTATTTTGACAGAATTATTTCAGCATTTTTTTGGTTTGCCCAATAGATCATTACTGGATAAGCAAACATGTCCTTTAGTCAACTTGGCTTCACATATGTCTGCAGTACAACTTTGTTTAGTAGCTGTAGACATTTCACTTTGTAAAATGAAGAGTCAGGTGAAGTGAAACCTCTCATACACCTGACTCTAGTTAATGTGAAGCCAGATAACATTGTGCCCTGTGGTGTCTTGAACCAGAGCTAATAGGCGTTTGCATGGCTTTGTTTGTACATGTAGTTTTTTTCCATCACCTCACTAAAGGTGGCTGGGAGTTTTGTTCAGTGTTAATTCAGCATTCCACCAATATAAGCTATTGTCTGGGTAATGTGCAACACATCATATATCTACAAAATGGTTCACTTCATGCTAAGCTCATTATTAAGTTCTTAAATTCAATGTGCACCCGAATGCTTATTCATGTGAATTGTAACTACAAAAAACCTCTAGCATGTCTCATTGTTAAAATGAACAACCAGTTGCATGTTCTTGTGGTTGAGTTTGTCTTTTTGCGTTCCGTCAGCATAACTTTATTAATAATGTACAAAACTCTAATATTGTTCATCAATGTAAGAATAGCCATTCTGCTTCAAACTCAACAAATCCTTTCCCCAAGCCCTATTCTTAACATATGCTGGAAAGTTAAGATTGAATTACAGCAGGACAGAATCATCTGCTCCTTTATCTGCGTTTCATGTGATTAGTCAAAAGCAAAGGGGGTGTACTCCACACATTTGGACTCTGGCCTCTATAGTCAACCCAACCCAGTGTTATGCTTTCCATTTCCTATCTCAGAAGGGTCTTCTGCTGGCCACAGGAATGTGTCTGACAAGACTCCTCCCTCATCCCACCAGCTGACAGGCCCCCCTCTTGTGAGATCTGAGGTCCTTCCAGCCACCTGGGCAAGTTGGTGACTCTCCGATGAAATGGGGCAGAATACTAATGCAGTCGCCTCAATGCTGCTCATTAACCAACTTGGCATGATAGGATGAGTCTAGGCTGATTTGATGGCCTTAAACGATTTCATTATGTGATTAGAGACATACACATTAGCAGATGCTGTGTGTTTACACTCGGAGTTTGCAGCAATTTCAGTGTTCAAGTTTCAGCAATCATTAGAGGACAAAAGTAGCCTTTGTGGGCCATTTATACACAAACCTGTTCAACCTGTTTATGTTTGCACTTCCTTGTAAATGTGATTCCATTATGTCACGGTGCTCTTCTCCGACTCCATACCTTCCAGCTGCAGGTCATGCATTAAAGCTTCAAACATAAACATTGTTGTTTCAGTTACCGTCAATCATTGTGAACTGTTAATAATGGCAATGTAATGCGTACGGATATATATTGTTATTTTTTCTGTGATGTTTACACGGGATCTAAAAACATGGCCCCATGCCTTCTATCCTAATGACTCTTTATCTCCGCCAGGCCGCCCGCCACCCCCTGCCCCAGCTCGCCCTCACAGCCTGTTTTGATTGTTTGTCTTTTTGTAGGCCGGCTTCCATTCAAACTCCCCAATCCGGTGGTCAGCCCTGGTTTTGCACTGGGGAGAGATTTCTCTGGTTAGCTTTTCCTCGCAGCTGCTGACTCATTTCCCACATTGGTATTCAGTTGTGGGGAGGGGAACGAGGGAAAAGATGGGAAGGGTTTCAATTTGGGTGTGGGCATGTGAGCACACGTCGAAGTACCAACCACTGCAGTTGTTGAAACTGGACAGAAAGCCCACACATACTGCTGGGAGGGAATGGAAATATGAAGATGGCATAGCAGTCGGTTGACCCACATCACAACCTCAGTGACCGCAGTGATACTTTAGTTGGAGGGACTGGCATTAAAAGGACATGTCATATACCTTATTCTGTGTAAACTTGACGACTTGTTGGTTCTTCTTTGGTCTCTCACTCTTGTTGGAGTCAGTTTGCCTGATCAACAGTTAAGTGTTTTGGTTATAGACAGAGGATGGTGGACCGGGCATGTGCTCAACAATAATGGAAAATGTCTGTTTAATCTAATAACTGGTGACGAGACAGTGATGTGGGTGTTTTATGTAAGGCTTATTTTTTAGGGAGGGGCCAATAAAGACATTGATTTCTGTCTTTCTTGCAGATAAAACCGATTGGTTGAGTGATTATCGTTCAGGAAAGAACAGAACATTGTTTGAAATAGGCCTGGGAGTCCATGGCAACAGGAAAGTCAGACTTTAAGGACGGGGGAGGTTGAGTGGAGAAGCCAACCTGAACTGTCTCAGCTCCGTATATTCCATTAGCCTACATTTCCAACCCTTAATTACTAAAGTCTCCAAAGTCTAAACTAAAAGGCATTGTTCATCCTGTAATGGAATTTCTGTCTGCTCTAGTTCTGTGAATCCATTTTGAACTCTCTAAATTAGAAGTTGATGCACGTTTTATGTTCTATTTATAGGAGCGCATTGAAGCTTGTTCTTCAGAGACATGCAACAAAAGTTTCAGGATGCAGGCGGGGCAACAATGGCTTGAGTCAATTATTGGTTATTTAAAAATAGTGTTATTGCTATCATGGGTGGTGTCCTCGCCCACACCTATGGGAATAATATAAAAGAAAGTAGGAGGATTGATATGGAGGAGGATTCTGTTGGGAAGATGGAGGGTCGAGGCCCCATGAATAGAATTCCTGCGTGCACCACCACAGAGCTGCAGTAGCGTGCATAATCCTGACGCTTCTAATCTTCTTTGGTTTAGGATGCTACATGAAAGAAGACCCTGTGTAGCAAACCATTACATCTATATCTTGTTTGCCGATAGAAAAATACAACTTGAATACATGTGTTTGAATTGAACTAGCAGTATATTGAAGAATAGATGCGGGTGTAGTAATTCACTTAAACAAATTGAACAAGAGAACTATGTGTGCTGTTTTGGGCTGAAGTCCAAAGGCTACATAGTGAGGAGGCGACAGAAAGACAGAGTGAAAAGGAGGTTTTTGGTATTTTTTGTTCCTCAAATCTTGGCCGGCTTCAGGATGGAGACCTCAGGCTCTGTTGCCTGGAATGGAAATGTGTATTGATTACATCATAAATGCGCATGTCAAATGTATTCATCACTCATAAAGACCTATAGGAAATTGTCCCATCATGTTGTTCGATTGTTTTCTGTTTTGTTAACCACAACATGGGTGCATTGAAGGAGCACAACTTCAACAATTGTCACAGGGATCATTGTCTCTCAGGTACACAGGGTTACACACTGGACAACAACTCGGCAACTGACTGCTCAATAATTGTGAGTTGGCCATATCTGTGTGTTTTGGTGTTTGGCAAAACTAAACATCTGTAAATACTAAAAAAAGAGCCAATTGAATGAAGCTCACCCCATATTGAATAGGAAGATTAACTGTGGATCCTTCTTTCCTTTCTACAACAACTACAACTCCCAACTCAGATTCAGTAGCTCTAGGTCTGTTAGTAACCAACGTCAGTGGGACCTGTGCACTGATGCCAGCATTATGCCACCGCCACCATACTGATCACGACTCCACCCAGATTAAGACTAATGATGGCCAAGCAGGGGTTTATTTTACAGAACCACTGTTGGGTTCATCCGCATATTCAGGCATTAGCCCCGGATGGAGTCTACCAAACTTTAATCTACTTTTTTTCCTCAAATCTATAAACTAGTTTTCCATAATTGATCTCTCTGGTTTGAATCTCTTTGTTGTGGTAGGGTTTCCTTTAGGTCTAATGTTCAAGATCCTAACTAGAGCTACAGCAACTAAGAGACAGACATTTGCAACTAGTTTTTATCCCACATTTAGGACACACATTTCCTGTGGTTGACTTCTTCAATGTGAAGTTGGCTGGTTTTAGTGAGTGGACAGTTGAGTGTGTACAGGTGTTTCACTGAGTAACCTTCCCCAGTGTGCTTCAGGCTGAATATTGCAGTGCTTACTTTAGCTAGGCCAGGATTGTTGTTCATTTCTGTTTGGAAGAGTCAGTGGCATTTAAGATTTTACCACATGAGCAATAACCCTTAAGGCTAATGTTGAATACTGTGTTTTGTTGACTGAACGCCAGGAGTTTCCCTTTTTCTTCGAATTTCTCTTTATTATATTTATATTTATTATTATTTATTATACTTTTTTACTGTGCTACTGACAGCACTTGTCGCCTCAGAACATTGATCTTTGCTGCATCCACTGCTCGGCTCTCCCCAGCTGTGCCCTACTTTCCGCGCTGCTCATGTTCTGCTGTACTGTCTGTGAGCCTTATGATTCCAACCAGAAATCGGGCTCTGGAACACATCCTGTGCTTTACGAGGCCTGCCTGCAGAGTTTACAATTTACAACTTTGATAAAGGTCCACAAGAGAAAGTCTTGGGAATGTATCTTCTGCTTTGGTGTTGTTGACACTTTAGTTACCTCTGCTCAAAAGTGTGATTGATACGTATTTCCCTAAATGATGCAAAGGGTTGCAAACAATTATTGACAGTGCAGTGTGTACAGTTGGGTCAGACCAGTGAGATTCATAATCTCTGGCAGACATTATTGATATATCAATAGAAACTGCTTGATACACGAAGGAGTGAATTTCAATACCAGTGGTTCAGATCATGACTCATATGCTCTGCTGTCTTGCTGCTGAACTGTGCCTGCGTACTGCGTTGGCACTCTCATTTTCCTAGTGAGGGTCCAAAGTATGAGTGTAGTTCTCCCGCCCCAACCCAATTTCTCTCAAATGAAAAGAATGTGTCCTTGTTCAGCCTGCCAAGATAATTAAGAACTCAGAAGAGAAAAAAAATGTGCTTTTGGATTGTGTATGTTGAAAAATGTAACAGAATAGCAGGCACACAAAAACGGAGGAAAAGAATGAGTTGTGCAGGTTAGATAAAAAAACAAACCAACGCTGGCTTAAAGGGGGAATCTCGCCTGAATTAGCACTACAAGCCAATACAAGAGCCATTGGAGCCACATAAATCAAGCAGAAACATATAATAAACATTTAATAAATAACATGTTCAGTAAGCTCCTTGGGAGAGAGAACGGCCCTTTAGTCAGATATGATCAGAATAGTTTTGTACATCAGACACCTGAGCCTTTATTTGAAATTCTTGAGTGTGGTGATGTCTGCGACGACGATGAACTACTTGATAAGGATGTAGAAAGTGCTATACTTAAGCTATACACTCGATGTTTTCACCTTAACAGGTCTTCAGTACCTTTTCCAACGAGGACTATGACCGGCGGAACGATGATGTGGATCCAGTCGCAGCGTCTGCGGAGTACGAGCTGGAGAAGAGAGTGGAGAAGATGGATGTGTTCCCTGTGGAGATTGAGAAAGGTGAGTCTAGTGAAAACTGAAGTGAAGGTACATTCATAAGGGGAGAAACCTGTTTTCACCTAGTTACAAAAATAGCACATTCATTTAAAGGCATACGCAGTGACTTGCGTTTGATTATTTAAATAAATGAGGAATAGAGGAGAGGAAAGTGAGTGAAGAGAATAATTAGCGATACAGGGAGAGAAGACGGAGAGGAGAGTGAACAGGCGTGTTAGCGGCAGACAGGGAGAGACAAATAATTACACATGGCGCTCTCCAAGAAGAGGAAAGTGGACAGTGAGAACAGAGCTTTTAACCCTGAGTGGACTCATTCATGTTCATCCTGCCCACTGGGAGCACAGAGCCAGTGTGTCTCATTTGTTCAGAGACCGTGGCGCTCATTAAAAGTGCCAACACGCTAT